TTTTGAGGAGAACCTTTTACTTGCAGCAATTACAAATATTGATGGAATTAGGAGAACAAATCCTGGACCATCATAGTTACAGCAGTGATTTTATAACTTGTCTGATGATATTTTGACTCGTCTGTTGTTAGCTGCCTTTGTGAAGCACATTATCACGTGCTCTTTGAATTCTCTATAAATAAGGATTTATATATAATGTCTAATTTATTACCAGTACTAGAGGGAACACTTGACAATCAAATGGCCTGCGATGCAACACCTAAGACACTGGGAACAAACAATATTTAAAAAAAAAAAAAACCTTAACATTACACACACGCAGAAAGATGGACACAGCAAGAAACAACTGCTTTGTGTCCTCCATTCTACTTTATCCTCTACTGCTCATGCACACAGTCTGCTTACTTACAAACAAAGCACGGAAATTTCAGCATTGCTGTGGTATTGAGGTGTCAATACAAAGGTGCTCATCTTCCTGTCTCTCTCCGTCTCTGCTGAACCCTTGCTTAAGTGCTGCAACTTTACGCTCTCAGCAAGGCCAGTGGAAAAACTACTTAATTGTTTCGGTTTTAATCAGCATCTCAACCCCTTACAGGAGTAGATGAAGGGTACAGGACAGCTGGACTGAAACATCAGCACAGTCATTCAATGCTATGACCATTTCTCATTGTATTTCTGTGCTGTTTTCACTTTGAGTGTGTTTATCTGCCTGGAAACCGTTTGTGATTTAAATTTATGCAGGCAACAATTCAGTGTTGAATGATGAAATATGTTTACTGGTAAACAAGAAATCAGGTTAAGTGATTTGTTGTACTTTTGAGCTTCTTGAAACCTTTCCGTCACTGCATATCCTGTTGAAGCCCCTAGTCAGGTCTATTCTGAGTGAACAGCTTCAGTAGTCGGTCAAAGAGCAGAGAAATGGCTCATCGCAGCTTCTCTCTGTCAGGGTAGATGTCGTATGTGGCTTTAACGTGCACAAAGCCTTTACAAAGTGCAGTGGGTGGGGAGAGCAATTTAGTTCAGTTATTGAAGTAGTTTTCTCCAGTCAGTCACATTAAAGCTACTTTTTCCTCCTGTTGTAATTAGTTGATGCATTTGGAAGACTTTTTGTAAATGCATGCAATACTAACAGTGGTGTATGTCGCTGAACCTGCACTGACCAGTGTTCCTGAAAGCAAACTCATACTGCAATGAAGTTCCATCACAGTTCTTTGTCTCTTCCTTCTGTGACCTCCTATAAACCTGGTTCTTAAAATAGGGGTTATTGTGCTAAAATAACTTCATGTCAAATAAAATCATGTAGTGCACGCTGCATACTTATAGGGTCACTAAGGACCTGGTTGTGGATGGTGATTTCCCCTCGCCTCACTCTGTTAAACAGAGGCACGCTGCTTTCACAAACACTTCCCAAACACTTCCCAAACACACGAGCAACACTGTGAGTACACGAGACACAAAGTGAGACAGACTGGCTGTGTCTCACTCATGTCATCCACAACACTGCTCATTTACATGTGCAGCAAACTGCACCAGCAGAAACAAGAGAGCATGTTATCGAATACCTGTTGAACAAGCAGAACACAGACTTCAAAAGTGACGGGACGGTCCGCTTTGCCAGCAGTCAACTCGAGAGTGGGTCACACTCAGCTCACTAAAACTCACTGTCTGTCTGATGTCTGTTTGAGAAAAATCAGCAAAGTAAGAATTTGATTGTACGGTAGCTGTCTGGTTTTCTGTGCATTCTACAACAATTCTACAATTTCATTTAGCAGATGCTTTTATCCAAAGTGCCGTGCATCTGACAGCAGATACAACACAAACAAGGATCTAATCAGGAGAAAACAATCTGGATAAGTGCCATAGAACAAGTTCAAGTGTGACAGGGTGCTGATGCAAGTAGCAGGCTGTGTGGGAGGTCATTTTTGCTTTTTGTTTGTTTATGTTTTATGTTTTCAGTCTGTCAAGTGCAAAGGTGTTCAGTGAAGAGCTGGTCTTTTGTCTTTTCTTGAAGACTGGGAGGGACTCTGCAGATTGAACAGAGGTTGTTAACTAGTTCCACCACAGGGGAACCACAGAGGAGAAGAGTCTGGCTATCAACCTCAGGCCCTGTTGCGGAGGTTGTATCAGGCGGCGTTTGTTGGTTGAGCGTAGTGAGCGGGAGGGAGTGTAGACCTGAATGAGAGAGTTCAGCTAGGCGGGAGCTGTTCTCATTGTAGTTTTGTGGGCAAGTGTCAGAGATTTGAATTTTATGTGGAAGCCAGTGAAGCGATCTGAAAAGCGAGGTGTCATGGGCTGTTTTTGGCTGGTTTAAAACCAGACGTGCTGCTGCATTCTGGATCATCTGCAGAGGTTTGACCATGGATGCAGGGAGGCCTAGCAAAGAGTTGCAGTTGTCAATGCTGTCATGTCCGTCAAGTCTCTGTCCATATTGTATGTCTCGTCTTTCCTGTTTTATTTTGAAACCACTTCACCGGGTGTTTCTGTTTCAGTTTTACTTCCTGCACCTGTCTTGTCACACCTGTTCCCTGATTACCTCCCCGCACCTGTTTCCCATCTCCCCTTATTACTTCGTGTATATTACCTTGTGTGTCTCACTGTCTCGTCACCAGTTCATTGCACTTCACAGTCATCATACCAGCGTGTACCAAGTCAAGTCACAGTCTGTTTGATCACGACCTTGTTTCTGTTTTTTGGACTTTGCCTTTGCCTGCCGATTTCCGGATACTTTTGCCTGTGTGACTGACTACCTGTGTACCGAACCCTGCTTTGACATTAAACTTGCCTTTTTGCCTGAACCTGTTCTGAGTCAAGCATTTGTGTCCACCAATTCTGTTAGTGAGTTCATGACAAATGCATGATATGATGAGAGTCTGTACCAGGAGTTGTGCTGCATGTACAGACAGGAAAGGTCTGATCTTACTGATGTTGTACAGGGTGAATCGACACGACTGAGCAACAGAGGCCACGTGAGCCTTGAAGTTTAGTTGGTCATCAATCATGACACCCAAGTTTCTGGCAGACTTTGTGGTTCTGAGTTGGGTTGAATCAAGCTCGATGTTGATTTTGATGAAGAAAGTCATTTTCTTTTATTTTGATGGTCACAGACCCCTAATTCCACCCCCTGTTGCCATGTGTTTTCCCATCATGTGATGCCACAAAGGCAGGCATCTTGGCATCACTGCTGGAACTTGGCATGAGTGAGAGACAGGTAGCGAAAAAACTGAAGATCTCCAAGACAGCCGTTCATTACACCAAGAAAAAACAAGCACACCACAGTACTACCAAACTGCCAGCTGGTCGAGGCAGGAAACGTCTTTCTAGCCCACGAGATGACCGTGCACTCATCCATTCCTGTGTCAGGAATCGTCATCAGACCTCCAGGGACCTTAAAAATTAGTGGGCACTGTCAAGAAATGGAACTTGTTTGGTAAGGACAGTTCGAAACACACTTCTTTAAGCTGATCTGAAGTCACACAGGGCATGGAAGAAGCCCTCCATCAATAAAAGGCAGAGGAAAGCCCAGTTACTCTTTGCTGGGGATCACAAGGATTGGACTGCTGGTGATTGGGCTAAGGTTCTCTACAGTGATGGATCCAATTGCCAGCTGATGCCCACTCCAGCCAACTTACTGGTTAGGAGGAATCCTGGAGAAGCCTACAGACCAGACTGTCCTGCCCCTACAGTAAAATATGTGACTAAAACAGAAAAGAAAACATGGAATGCCTAAAAGCGCTGTTTTTACCAGTACAATGCCATGGCTATTGATGTAAAAACTCAAGTGATTTTGGTTATCAAAAAAAAAAAAAAGGAAAATGCTAGATACCAGCTCTTAAACTCTTATGAGCTATTTTTGTTATCATTATATTTGTCCAAACAAATGTACCCTTAGTTGTACCAGGCAATAAAGAGAACAAGAAATGGAAAAAAACAAACAAACAAGGGTGGTCTAATAATTTTTACATAATTGTAGTTATGTATGTGCTTATGCCATATGTATACATAGGAAAGAGTCATTTTAATACACTATGCCTTTTATTGTTGTATTTATTTTTGCATTACCTTTCAAAATAAAGTTACAAGGTACTGCCAGTAATATCAGACAAGTATAGAAAAGTACAAAAATGAAATACAATACTATCAAATCAGATTATTTAAAAAAGGAATAAAATAAAGAAATACAGGTTCACATAAAATAAACAACTTTCCATTAGAAAGCTGATATTGGTATCGATACTGGTTTATCCAATCACAGGTATGATTCACTTTTCTTTTGCTCTTTAAAGTTGACTGTGATTGCTTTCCCTCCAATCAAGTGCATCAGCTTTAAAGTCCAGTATCAGAAGCAATCCAATGCGGTTAAAGCCACAACGTGCATTAGTTGGCTTGTCGCATGCACTACACAACACAATGTTATACCAAGAACTTTTCATTTCACTTGTAGAGATCAGAAAGTAGTACTTAAAGGATGGATCACAAATTAAATGTTATTTAATGGACACACCTATTAGAAAAACGTCAATATAATTAGGTAGGTTTCCTTTAACAGATCACATGAGCAATAATGTCCTGGTATGCTGAATCGCAGTTTCAACCAAAAAGCCTCGACAGCTGTGTAGCTCCTCTATCTCTGTGCTGCTTTTGGCCCCGTCAGTCCACCACCACTGGATTTCATCATGGTAAAAATGACAGAAGAATAAAGACATGTGTCCCGGTCTGTCTGAGAAACATGACAGATTTTGTTAGGTGTTGGCCAAATGGCATTACGTATCAGAGGTGGAAACTGTTAAAACAGAATCATGACATTTTTAACTTTTCAATGGTCCTTGAATTATTCATCTGTGACATGCAATTCAGTTAATAAGTGTGATGAAACTTACGTTGAAAATCAGATTTCCTTTAAAAAAACAACAACAACAAAAATACTATTCTACTGTTTCGCTGAACTGCAGGCTGTGTTTACAGAGAAAAGAGAGGAGACAAGTATGGAAACAAACTAAAACAAGATGAGCCCATTATGAGTGAAAATGTGACAGAAGCAAAAAATGCTAAGCAGCTGACTAGCTGTCCAGAGTGTCACAAAGATAAAGGAAGGCTAACTTTTTTTTTTTTTTTAAAGGTGAATCTTACCTGGAAATTAAACAGATGCTGATTTTGCTGCCCAGTGATTGCAGGGTCTAGAAGTCAACAATGAGAATTTTAGTATGAAAGGCAATGTAAATAAAGCTAAACTGGTCAAAAAAGGATTTAGTGAATTTCAATAAACAGAAGGGGTTCTGTAGTCATAACTTCAGAACACCTCCACTGTGACTTATATTTGGCACTAATTTTAATCCAATTAAACAATCTTTCGAAGATACAGAACATTTACTTACCGTTGAAACCATCACAGGCCTTCATGCAACACATGAAGAAAGCTATAGTAATCAGACTTATACCTAAAGCCACACACAAGAAAAACAAAATGGTATTGCTCCTGTGATAACCCCAGTTGTTGACTGCTGAAAAATAATGAAAAAATAATGAAAATTCATAATTCAGAAAAGTTTATATCACTGATTCTACCAAATTCACCATCATGCAGAAGTAGTCTGTACTTACCTTCACTGTTCAGTTTGGTTCCATTTCCAAAAAGGATTTCTCCACATGTGGCCACAGGACAGAAGAAAAACTCAGAGGACGTGATGGTGTTGGAGAGAGGCACACATTTCTGTGTAGACTGAGCTTTGGGTCTTATTTTACAAACATCGCCATCTTCATCTGAACCGGCTCTGAAACAGGACACAGTGAAATCCCCTGAGCATGTTTTCTTGTCAGAGTCAGAGAGGACGGAGCACTGCAGAGTCACTGGGTCTCCTGGTAGGACTGGATCGGATGGGGGGACGGTAGCGATTGCAGGCTCCGGTCCTGAAAAATTAAAATAAAAATCCCAAGCTGTAACATTATTCTTTTCAAATGACAAATTCCTATATGTTTTACACAGTACTGTTTTTTTAATTTAAATGTTCATATGAATTACGTAAAATTATTCTAACTTAATGTACACCAGTAATTACAATAAGCTCTTTCAATTACAACACAATTTATATCCCAAATATCATTTTTAAGTAATCTAAGAAACCTTTAGTGATTTCTGGTGTGCTTACCTTCAACTCTCAGGTTTGTTCCTTTTAAAAATGCAACGTTTTGCTGTTGTATTTCCATACAGTAGTAAACTGCTGAATCACTTTGCTGTGCTTTATTAATGTAGAGAACAACAGTTCCAGGCTTTGTTTCAATTCTGATGTGATGGTCAACGTTCCTAAAGTGAAATGTTTTTCCTAAGACTTCAGGAACGTTGCCAGAACCAAGTCTGAACCAAAACAAGCTTCCTAAAGCTTTGCGAGGACACGTCAAAATCACATCATCTCCAACGCCAACAGTCTTTGTTTCAAAGATCTGCTTGTCTGTGAGACCTGGGGAAAAAAAAAAAAGAATGTAATGATAGATAACACAGAACAATGTATGCCTTCTTCTAAATGACAGAGAAAATGAACATACACTTTATATATCTAGAGTAGATCTGATGTGTCCACATATACTCACAGCCCACTCGGAGTATCATCAGTAAATAAAACAGTGTCTGCATTTTCTAATAGTTCAACTTGTGACAGCTGTTAACAGAGCTCACACTGCAGAATGAAGCGCTTTATTAATTGTACCAAGAAGGACGAAACCATCTCAGAGCAATCTGATTGGCTGTTTGCTTGGTTGTAATTTCACAGCTCTACCACAGTGGAAAGACTCTTTCATGGCAGTACTAAATACAGATTTCAAATTCTAAAAAGCAACCATAATTTTACGTGCAGGAGTCTTAATTAAACTTAATCTTGATACCAGCTACCCTCCCATGGTCCAGTGAACTACAATGGATTTGGCAGATAACGTTTTTCAGAAATAAGTGTTTTATGTGGCTTGTCGTCAAATGTTGTCGGAGCTTGTGAAAGCACACACACGCATCACCATAGAGCCAGTGTGGTCATTCACTTACAGGGCAGATAAAAATAACGCCTCACCATTTAAGGTTACACATCAAATACAATAACACTCCGAATTCATCACATGCTGACATTATAGGAGGTGGGGCTCCAATTTGTTGCCAATATGCAAAACAACTGTGACATTTAAAAAAAAAGGCATCTCTTGGCACACAGACACATATTTACAATCACTACTGACAAATGATGCAAAGAAAGCTGAGCAAGGTAGTGGCTGAGGTGCCACAGTAAGTGTGATTTGGTCGCTGCTTTCTTCATGTCATTCACACTATTTTAGTCTTTAGACACAGGTCTTTGTGTAAAGGGCAGCAGTCTGAACTTTCATCCTACCACTCCAATTCTGACCTGTTTCTTTGATCATAACGCTCGCTGTGCAACCTAAACCCTTTTCTTTCCTGTTTGTGCATGTCACACCATGATAAAAGTCAATGTTTACATCTACTGCTGTACATTTGTGATCTTTCTCTCTCTTTTATTTACAACCACAAAGACACTGAAATGGACAAAATTACTTCTTTCTTGGAAGTCAACCAAATGTCAAACATTCAGTTCAAAGAACATAACAAGAGGTGGCTGAGCTTTGATAAATTGGTTCTTACAAATGTATTTGTTCTTGTAAGACTACATGATCTCAGTACAGTGGACCTGCTTGACTAAAAAGTCATTTTTTAAACTTTCCTCTGTAGCCTGCATCACAGTTTGTGTAGCAGACATACACACAATTAGAACAAAGTATGTTTATGTCTTTAAGGGTTTTAAAAATCCATTTGAAAACAAGTCCACGTTGAACATGTTCAATTTGTTTCACTATTTATTTTCTCTGTCAGGAACTCACTGATGACAGGCAGGTGGACACAAATGTTCGACACAGAAGAGGTTCAGGCAAAAAGGCAGGTTTATTACCGGTCAGGGTTCGGTACACAGAAGGTCAGTCGAATCAGGCAGAGGTATCCAAAAAGCAAGAGGCGAGAGGCAAGATCCAAAAACAGAAGCAAGGTCGTAACAAACAGACTGTGACCAAGACTTGGTAAACGCTGGTACGAAGACTGTGAAAGTGCAATGAACTGGTGACGAGACAGTGAGACACACAGGGTAATATACACGAAGTAATAAGGGGAGATGGGAAACAGGTGTGGGGAGGTAATCAGGGAACAGGTGAGACAAGACAGGTGCAGGAAGTAAAACTGAAACAGAAACAACTGGTGAAGTGACTTAAAAATAAAACAGGAAAGACAAGACATAAAACATGCACACAAAACAGAAACTTGACAGACATGACACTAACGTGGAACTAATGAATAAATTGCTGGGAAGTTTTGCTGTTCTTGTGCAAAAGTCTCTTGAATCACTCATCTAATGAGTGTAATTAAACATTAACAACAAATGCAGAATCCATTCAATAATAAAGAACACAAGTGCACTTGTTGGACTGTGTATGTGGGCGATGTAACTTGACTGTTACTGATCTTTTCTTTCTCTTACTGTAGGCTCAGTTAAGCTCACAATGGTCATAAACCTCAAGTCAGGACTACGTCACTACTCTATCAAACTAGAATTAGCTCTCTGAGGTAGCTCTTCTCTGCCTTTACCGCTAACCCCACTCCATATCCTGTTGATGCACAAAGCTTTTCTATGTTAACACTTTAGGTGCTGGTCAGAGACAGAGAAATGACCTGCCACAGTTTTTCCTATCAATGTAACTGCACTATCGCCCCAAGGGGTAAGAGACATAAAATACTAAAAGACATGCTAAACTGTATAAACTGCTGAGCTCCTGCAATGTGACATTCGAAAGATTAGAACAATAAAATGTACGATCATGCTTTTAGAGAGCATTATGGGGGCGTCCCAGTAGCTCTCCGGCGATCTGTGAATAGGGGCTACTCGTCCCCACCATGAATCGATTCTGACCCATGGCAAGATCTGCAGCATGTTGGTACCACTCGTATCTTCCTCAGTGCTAAAACTACTACCAAATGGTTGTGCTGAACATGACAGTATTGAGCCTGATTGACCAACACACATGACCTGAACCCCACTGAACTGCATGTGGGGTATTGTCAAAAGGAAGTTAAGAAACATGAGACCCAAATATACAGACGAGCTGAGGGTCGCTATCGAAGCAACCCGGGCTTCACTAACACCACAGCAGTGCCACTGACTGATCACCTCTATGCAACGCTGAATGAATGCATTAATTTGTGGTAAAGTAGCACGAGCAGAGGGTATACATGAACCTACTTCTCAGAAGTTGAACATTTCTGTCATGCAAATTCTTTGTGTGCTTAATCTTGGGAAATATGCTAATACTTTAAGAAACTTAAGTTCCGATTGTCATGAGCTATAAAAATAAAAATTATCATCAAAAGAAAAAACGCCCAAAATTGTGTACTTGCAATGAAGCTAGAAAACATTAAAGTTTACCTTTTTGAATTTAAATACATAATGTTCTAATTTCTCAAGATGCACGAGTAAAGTATACACGTGTTGTCAATATGAACAATATTGTCTGTGTTTCTGTTATTTGTATCTTTAAGCTGGCAATTCTTCATTTTCAATGCAGGGTTAAAAAAACAAAAACTAACAAAAAAAAAAACTAACCACTGCTGCAAGTGTAGTGTCTGCATTTCCACCAATCACCATGATGTCTGTTTTGTAAAACGGAGACACCTTTTGTCGTGACTACACCTTTCTTTTTGGTCGGAAGACAGTCTTGCAAGACAACATCGCTGAAACCACAATGCTTGAAAAACTGGCTGCTCTTCTTTGTACAGTGTGTAAGTGTAGTCATCTTGTACTCAACTCATATTTAATATGTGTATAAAATATGCAGGAAATTGTAATACATAGACATTTAGTTTATATCCATTTTTATGGTTATGCTATATGCATATTTTAATATGAAGTTACTTGTCAAAATGATACTTGTACCACTTTCTCAGTTGCTGTCTGCTAAGTTCTGTTATTGTCTGTTTCTTCAGCTCTGATTCAAAGCCATGAGTTTTCTCACCGGATCTCGTTGACTGTCGCTGACCTTGGAGATAACGTGACTTTGACATGTTCAGTCTCTGGGGATCAACCCAGGTTTTTGTTCTGGCACAAGCTGAATTTTGGAAATATGTTTCAAAGGGTTGCTGTAGGATATTTGGACACAACAACACTTGACTATCTCTTTAACAGCTCAAGATTCAATTTCACAAAACTGGATGATGTGTATTCTCTGACCATAAGAAATGTAAGAAAAGAAGATGAAGCAACATACCTCTGTCAAGGAGGATCTTCAATATCAATGGTGTTTTTCAATGGCACACTTTTGGCTGTGAATGGTAAACCATATTCATTTTATTTAATTTTCTATATCTGTGTCAACAACAAAACAACTATAGTTCTTTTTTTTCATTTCATGTGAATCACACAGATCCTAAAAACCAGAAGAAATCGGTCTACGTGAAACAAAGTCCAGATGTGGAGTCGGTCCAGCTGGGAAATTCTGTGACTCTGAGGTGTTCACTTGTCTACAAGAAGGAAGAAAACAAGAGTCGGTGTCCAGGTGAACGCCGTGTGCACTGGTTCAGAGCTGGATCAGAATCCAATCCGGGCATCATTTACACTGACAGTACCTGCAGTGATGGACAGGAGGGAAGGAGCTGCGACTACCGTCTGTCCAAAACCATACGAGAGTCCTCAGATGCTGGAACTTACTACTGTGCTGTGGCCACGTGTGGACAGATCCTGTTTGGTGAAGGAACTCAAGTGGAGACAAGTATGTGTTCTCAGTTTTATCAAAATAATTGCAGTTTTAAAACTGTATTTAAATAGTACATGAATGAAATGGTTTATTCATGCAAAGATCTTATGAGACTGTTTTTTCTAATTATAGCCTGAGCACTGATTTTGACTTTGCGTAAACACTTGTGTGCACACATTCAGAAATCTCAGCAGTTACTTTTGTGAAACAGTGTTATTTATATATTTAAAGGAATAAATGTGACCCATCTGCAGAAATCAGTCACATTGCACCTGATGGTATTTGACAGCAATATGGAGCGTAATATTACTGTGCTCTGTAATATATGTCACCTACATGGAGAAAACAAGTAAATGGAACAATCTAAGTAATAAACCCAAAATCAATGTTTTATCATAGGTTAATGTAATTCAGACTGTATCTCGGATACAGTCCAAGGCACAATGGGACTGATTTCGTGCAGATGGGTCACAAATGGAGACAACAAAGTAAAATCCCAGTTTATCTGTTGGTATTGTACTGTGTATTACTTTCAGTACAATCGTCCCACAATCTGTTCTCATCGCACGTGTGATCTGAATGACGTATGGCATTTAAATTTTATACCTGATATTAAATTCTGATGTCTTTATTCATAACTTACCAAAGCAAAGTTAAAAATAAGATTTTAACCTCCCAGTACTCATTTTTTATATCATGACTCTAAAACAGATTCTTAGAAGGCTACTCAATGAAATATGTACATTTTGAAAAATATTCCAAATCTTATTTTTAATTACAACAAATTGTGTAAGGCAATAACTTTTAATGTTTGTAAGTCATAAAAGTCACCGATGAGTACAGAACTGAACATCTGCTTATTTATTTAAAATTTACTTAAAATTTGCGGATGACACA